GCATTCAGGCCAAGGAGGGAGGGAATTAGGGTTTAGGGTTTAGGGTTTAGGGTTTACCTTTCAGGGCTCCTTCAAGGGTTCCTCTAAAGGAACCCATGTAGGAGCCCGAATATAGAACCCTAAACCCTAGGATGCTCCCTCCGTCTTGAGAATGCCTGCTAACCGATATGATAAGTCTCAAACGAAGGACCATGGTTTCTGTAAGGACTTGTGGTTGAAGATGGAAAGGTCTATGTACTGGTTTACGGTTTTAGGGTTGTTTCTTCGGGGATTTCTTGGATCTTATTTTTTTCCGGACGGTGCAGCATTTCTAGTGGTATGCGGTTGTTTTGGGCTTCCCGTGTTCGGACTGTTAACTAGGATTTTGGGTTCAGGGTTTCAGTGCTGAGGGTTTTTGCTGTTTAGAATTTAGGGTTTCAGGGGTTTTAGGGTGAGTCCATGAGTCATTGCCTGGCCATGTCTTGCCCTAAGCCCTGAATCTCGATCTTTATTCTGAAGCTCCCAATCCCTAACCCCTAAACCTGGATCCTTAGTTCCCTGAACCTCTAAATTAGAACAACTCGTACGATTGCGCGCATGTTTGCAGAAAGCGTGGTAATGCAGGGACGTTAGCAGTTGGAACAGGGCTTTGGCGTAAAAGCTAGTGTATTTCTATTGATGAACCCTCGGCAATAATACCCAAAATACCCCCCCCCAAATCCCGTATAGAATCCTTGCAGGAACCTTTTTCAGGAACCCAAAACCCTAAACATTGAGGGCCCTTTGCGGCATGTCGTAGCTTACCCGCAGCGTTTTGAAGGTGGGCTCTCCAGTTTCCAGCTCTCTTCTTCACTTAGGGGTTTGTAGGGTTCTACGAAGGTGCTATCGGGATCTTAGGAGGAGTCTACAGGGTGAGTTTTAGGATCTAAAGTTCAACGGTTCGGTTCCAAGGGCAAAAGGGGGGCTGTCTACCAAGATTTTGCAGTCTTCCGGCCACCTTGAAGAGCAGAGTAGCAGGCTTTATAGGGTTTAGGGGGGGTTTCCCGACTTTTTGGGGCAGGAAGGGCCTTTGCTTCTTCCTCGGCTTCCGGCCCCTTGTTTTTTTAAAAGACGCCGCCGGCCATGAGCACGCCGCCGACCCACAGCTATGGATCCTATGCTTCGAACTCCTCCGCCGGGCAGCTGCCGGTCATGCTTGGGTGCCGGGGCTCAGCATCGAGGGAGAGGGGTGGGGATTTAGAGGTTCGGGTTTAGGGTTCAGGGTTTAGGGGTTTGGGTTCAGGGCTAGGGGTTTAGGGGTTAGGGCTTTAGGGCTTTAGGGGTTTAGGGTTCAGGGTTCAGGGGTTTGGGTTCAGGGCTAGGGGTTTAGGGGTTTAGGGGTTAGGGCTTTAGGGCTTTAGGGGTTTAGGGTTCAGGGTTCAGGGTTCAGGGGTTGGGGTTTAGGGCTTAGGGTTTTGGGGTTTAGGGTTTAGGGGTCGGAATGATTAATATAGAAGCCTAAAGAATTACCAATGTTACTGTTGGGGCTCCTTCTTATGATTATGGTATAACGGCCCTAAAACCCTATTCTAATCACTAAGGCCCCTATATTAGGGTTTGGGGTAAAGTGTTCGAGTGTACTTGAAAACCCTGTTCTGAGTCTTAGGAGGCAAGTCGGCTCCAGTCCAACACCGTAGGTCGCAGTGTGCAGCTGCGGGCATTGAATCTCCAAGCCTTGAGCTCCCTGAACCTCGCAGAATTCATATGGGGTTTGGGGTTTTGAGTTTAGAGTCTAGGGTCTAGGGTCTAGGGTTTAGAATAAAGCCATGTCCAAACCGGATAAGCCCAATACTGAGCTCCCAAAACCCAAACCCCAACTCCTGAAGCCCTCAAACCCTGAACTCCAAATCCCGAGCCAACGCTTCCTGGCAGTATCCCGCCCAAACACCATCCAACCCTCATAAAAACGTAATCCTACAACACTTATCAACAGCACCCTGTAGAACCCTCCAAAACCTTACACAACCCCGACAAACACCACCCCCAAAGCCCGAGAAAACACTATAAAAGCCGACACAAAAACACTATAAAAGCCGACAGCAAACACTATAAAAGCCGACAAAAAACACTATAAAAGCCGACAAAAAACACTATAAAAGCCGACAAAAAAACATTATAAAAGCCGATAAGACCTTCAAGAACACTCAGGCGGAAGCCGCAGGATGTCAAGCTGGAGCCAAAGGGCGGCGAGGAGAAGAGGAGCTCCCGGGGTTTTGGCTTCGGGCTTTGTCTACGATATTCTGGGTTTAGGGTGTAGGGTTTAGGGTTTAGGGTTTAGGGTTTAGGGGAGCCTTTAAAGGAACCTTTCAAGGACCTTTCATGGTAGCCGTAAAACGTTCTTTAGTGAGGGTTCCTTCAAGTTTGCTTAGAGCCCTTACGGGAGCTTTAACTGGGGTTACTGCCAGGGCTAAGGGTTTGATCATGGTTTCGGGTTTAGGCTTTAGGGTTCAGCTTTGGCTTAGAGTCCAGCGTTTAAGCAACTTCGGGTTCAGGTTTAGGGTTCCATTTTCAGGGTGTGTTGTTTGGATTTCGGGCTTAATTTGGGTTTAGGCTTTGGGTTGAGTTTGGGGCTGGTTTCGAATGAATTCTATGCTGAGTTACGAGTGAGCTAGTGGGTTCGCTTCTATCAGCACTACCCTTGTTTCCAAATAGCCACTACCAGGTGTGGGGCCATTACTGAGTGATGCGGCTGCCCCGATATTGAATAAAGTGCCCAAAAGTCTGGGCTGTTGTATCCCGGTTTTGCATCAATTTGGGTCGGTGCCCCGGTTGTGCCCGGTCGTGTCCTCAGAGACCCTATACTCCAAAACCCTAAACCCTAAACCCTATACTCCAAACCCTAAACCCTAAACCCTAGGCCCTAAAGGAGCTGAGGTAGTCGATGCACGTTTAGGGTTTAGGGTTTAGGGTTGAGGGTGTCAGTCTTATTCACATGATTGCTGCTAGTGCCACCTGCAAGCCACCAGTGATCAGTCCGCGTGACAGGGTTTATCCTTTGGTTTCTGGGCTGGGGTTGTGGGATTGGGGGTAAGGGTTTGACAGCTTTGAACGCGCAGAAGTCGGGGTCTTTGCCTTGCAACCTACACTCTGAATTTGGATTTCTGGTTATATCACCCAAGGCCAGCGGCCGTTGGCCCCTGGCTTTGAAACGGGTTGCATAGCCATGTGCTACCGAAGACAAGACGCAGAGCTTGGCCAGGGGTCGCGACGACGTTCGCCGGATGAGCACCAAGAAGCGCGGTCTGGACACCCTGTGGGGCGTGTTGAAGTTTTGATAATCAGACTGGGGATGTTGGGGCTATCTGGGGATTTTCAGGGAATGCTATTACTAATGATTCCGAGCCCTGCATTAACTCACTTACTTGAAGGCATCTGGGAATTTGGGTGCTCAGGCCGCAACAGCCTTTGACTGTGATGATGATGATGATGATGATGGTGGTGATAACGATGCTGATTATGATGTCTGTCGCAGCTCCTAAGTGATTTGTCTCATCATTCTTCCCATATGTGTTACGGAGGCTATATATGCTTGGAGTCTCGATAATTCTGCAGTTTCGGGAAAACCGCCTGCCTGTTCCCTTCCTTTGATTTGTTCTGTGGGGGGTGGGGGCGGGGGCTACACAGGAGTGGGGTCTTGTGGGTGCTCAGCGTCTTTTTGATTTTTTTGGTTCAGCACTCTACCCGAAACCCTAAACCGCATAAGTCTTCCCGAGTTCGCCCGAGATGGGGTGACTTCTGGGTTACTCTTGGAATCTTGCTCCTTCGGTTCTAAGTCACACCTCAGGAAACGCAGCTACCCTATAGTATGCCTATATAGTACTCACAGAATCGCCGTCATTGTAGCTTGCAGCAACCCTTACTTCGATCTCCCTGTCCTCAAAGGCTGACGAAGCCGAAGCCCCCGGCAGTGTTGGTCTTCGCTTCTTCGTTGGGCTTAGGGCCTAGGGCCTAGGGCATGTTGGGGGTCTCCCTGAAACCCTGAGCCCATCCCCAAACCCTAAACCCGAAGCCGAAACTCTAAACCCGAAACCCTGAACCCTAAGCCTTAAACCAACCAGGAACCGAAACTCTAAACCCTAAAACCCTAAACCCTAAGCCTTAAACCAACCAGGAACCGAAACTCTAAGCCCTAAACCAACCCCAAACCGAAACCCTAAACCCTAAACCCTAAACCCTAGGCCTTAAACTCACCAGGCCTCAAAGGGCTCGGGTTTCCGTGGCACTGGGACCCAAGTTTCAGAACAGGACTCGAAGCCGACGTGCCCTGGCCACAGCCGGCAAGTGCTGGTTTAGGAGTAGGTTTAGGGTTTAGGTTTTAGGGTTTTAGGGTTTTCGGGTTTAGGGTGTAGGGTTTAGGGTGTAGGGTTTAGGGTTTAGGTTCAGGGATTAGATCCGGTGTGGAGTCAGTTTAGGCTTGATGGTCTAGGATTCAGGCTTGAAGCTTTGAGGTTTAGGGTTGAGGGCAACGCGAGGAGAACAATTCTCAGGGCAACATGAGGAGAACAATTTTCAAGCAAGTAAACAGTCAACATTGTATCTCAGCGAAGGACGGCACAATAATACGCACATTAATCCGGGCTTCGGCGGGTACTAATCGCAGACTCTATGATTGATCAGTTTTCAGCCGATCAAGTTATATGACATGACATAGTTCTAGGTACCTAGCTAACTGCTAACTAGATGGGTGATTAGCAAACGGTAATGCATCGAGGAGCCAGATACATGTATCGATAGCTGCGTAAATATTGTGTCTGTCTGTCTGTCTGTCTGTCTGTCTGTCTGTCTGTCTGTCTGTCTGTCTGTCTGTCTGTCTGTCTGTCTGTCTGTCTGTCTGTCTGTCTGTCTGTCTGTCTGTGAGTCCGCCGGTGGGTCGGTTTGCCTGTCTGTCTGTCTGTCTGTCCTGTCCATCTGGTTTGTCTGGTCTGGTCTGGCTATCTGTGTGTATTGCATGTACCTGCGGATGCATGGATGGATGGACGGATGAATGGATGGATGGATGGGATGGGATGGGATGGGATGAATGGACGGATGGATGGATGGATGGATGGATGGATGGATGGATGGATGGGAATGGTGGATGGATGGATGGGTGAATGTATGGAAGGGCGGGTGTACATATGTGTATCTATGTGTAGGGGTAGTATATCAGTTTATGTCTGTATATATGTGTATAGGTGTCTGCTTGTGCGAAGGAGGTACGACCATGCACACGAAGCAGCGTGCACAGCAATATGTACACATGCATGCACGTCACATACATATAATCTGTGGATGTGCACCGGCGCATGTAAAGTTATCAAAATACTTGAAAGCATTTGTCGGGAAATGGAATTTTTTTTGGGATACACCTTCGTTTCATGGAGGATTATATCTTGGTAGCTTCTATCTCCCTACACAGCCGCTGCTGTGTTGCTATCCTCCTCCTTTTTGCTGTTCGTTCGTCTGCTTTCCTATCTGGTAGCTTAAGGGAAGCCGTCCGAGACCACAAGAAGCCCCCGAGTCGGGTCTGCTGCTGCACCCCTAAACCTCAAAAACCCTAAGCCGTAACCCCTAAGCCCTAAACCCTACACCCCTCAACCCCTAAACCTCTAAACCGCCGAAGCCTAAACTCACAACGCTTCAGAGTCCGAAGCCTTCAGCCCGCAAAGCCGAAGCCTTGGGGCCCGGATCCTGGATCCGAGATCGCTGCAATCTAAGCCATATAAACCCAAAGCCCGAAAAGACCCATCGTAAGATCCTATCTGAACAGTCATAAAATGTTCAGCTTTTCAGTCAGTCCCAAATCATATTCGTTGGCTTTGAAGCCTTCGGTACTTCTTCTCAGACCTTCCCGTCGGGCTAAAGAGTTCCTTTCGCTACAAGTAGTGCAAGTAGCGGCACCGTATACCCCCGCAAGAGATGGACGTCGGAAAGGGGGTAGTCAGTACATGTATCATCATTGGAGCTGGGGTTTGGGACTGTTGCAATGTAGGCTTCAGGGATCTACGCTTCGGAAGCTTGGGAGTGTAGGCCTGGTGTCATTCAGAGAGGAGTTCGGGGTTGCTGTTACATCCAGCAAAGCCGCAGTCAGAGCAATCCCATTAAGACTAGAATCGGCATGTAGAACAAGTATCCCGCAGCGGAGGTTGAACTTCAAACTGGCAGAGGAAGAGCTTGTCTTCGGACAGGCTTCTGGGCAAAAGGACACTTGCTGGTCCACCAACCTCCCTACACTTTGTCAAACCATGGCGTTTGGAGTACTAGGGCTTTAAGGCTTGCATGAAGCCGAAGCTCTTCGTGGACGATCCCCTAGAGCAGATCTTGGGAGACTTATTCAACCTGTGTTCCCTCTGTCCTTTCTGATCGTCGAGGCCCCAAGCCCGCTATCATGCATAGCTTCGGGCCTAAGTGGGTACTTGTCCTCGCGATAAGACCTAGATCGAGCGCCCCAAGGCCGCGAACCCTGTACCATAAGCAAGCACACACCCCTACAGCCAAAACCCGAAAAGCTTTAGCTGCTTCAATTTCCAATTCTTTACGCTTTCAGTAGGCTTCGGGCTGGGAGTTAAGACCAACAGCGACCGGTTACAGCTACTGTCTAGGGCTGAGGGCTCAGGTTTCAAACCCAAAGCCCTACACCTGGCAGCTTCGAAGATGATTCTGACAAAAAACCTTTCAATCCATGAAAAACGTCCCCAAATGCGCAAGACCTAGAGTCCCACAGCCCTCAACCCTGAACTCAAACCCCCCGAAAACCAGGTCTACATAGCTTTGCATCTGACCCGCGGAATTGACCATGCGGATGTTCGGACAAAGGATAGTGGCCCGGCTCTTGTATCAGAGTTTTTCATCAGGGTTTCGGGGCTTCGGGTGCAAGGTTTCGGGGTCTAGGGTTTAAGGTTTGGGGTTTAGGGTTTGTGGTTTAGGATACAGGGTTTGGGGTGTAGAGTTTAGGGCTTGGTGGGTATGGCGCTGCTTGACGGTTTCAAGAAGGTGTCTCATCAGAGTTGATCGCAGGATGGCTTCAGAGATCCTAACCCTAAACCCAAAACCCCTAAACCCCTACCCTAAACCCTAAACCCTAAACCCTAAACCCTAAACCCTAAACCCTAAACCCCTGAACCCCTAACTCCCAACCCCTAAACCCTACACCCTAAACCCCTAAACCCCTAAACCCCTAAACCCTAAACCCTCAGAGATCCTGTCAGATGTTGGCTGCGAAGCTTCGTAGGTTTTGGGGCTTCGGGGCCTTTCTGCGAACCTAGGCTCAAGCGCCGGGACCTCACAAACCGGATTGATAGGTCCCACAAGCTCCAAAGCCCTAAACCCTAAGGCTTAGAGCCCTAAACCCTAAACCCCTAAACCCTAAACCCCTAAACCCTGAACCCCTAAACCCCTAAACCCTAAGGCTTAGAGCCCTAAACCCTAAACCCCAAACTGGGTTGTCGAATCATGGCCCATTTTCTGGCCCCTGGGCCTTCCAACTGCGGATTGCGGGAGGAAAACGGAGCTTTAAAAAGAAACCCTAAACCCTACACCCTAAACCCTAAAGCTTAAACCTTAAATCCTCAAGCTTAGACCCTAGACCCTAAACCCTAAACCCTAAACCCTAAACTGGTGGTCTAGGCTTTGATTTTCAGGGCGCGGAGGCTTTTGGGAAGCTTCGGCTCCCGCTCCTAAGTCCTGCCGCCCAAGACCATGAACCCCTAATCCCAAAGCCCTAAACCCTAAATCCCTAAACCCTAAACCCCTAAACCCCTAAACCCTAAACCCTAAATCCCCAAACCCTAAACCCTAAATCCCTAAACCCTAAATCCCTAAATCCTGAATCCCTAAACCCTAAAACCCTAAACCCTAAATCCCTAAACCCTAAATCCCTAAACCCTAAATCCCTAAACCCTGTTCTTCTCCTTCTTCTCTGTGCTGAACCTTGAACCCAAGAAGCGGATAAAGCCCCAGGTATGTTTGTCTTCGCATGCCTCCTTGCAATCCTCGCCACGGCCCTATCCCTAAGCCCTAAACCCCTAAATCTATAAACCCCAATCCCTAAACCTTAAATCCTTAAACCCTAAACCCTACACCCCAAGAGCTTCGTAGATACCGGGCCAGAGGCCTCAAAATGCGATACCCTAAACTCTCGACTATCCGTCCTGACCTCCAAAAAAGCGCCTTACAGAGCTGCTACAGTACGGCATACCCAAACCCCAAAGCCCAAATCCTAAACTTCAATCCCTACACCTCAAGCCATAAACCCTAAATCCCATAGACCCCAAACCTCACACCCTACACTCCCCAACCCCTTTTGCTCCTAGGCTTCTACATCGTGGGAAATCGGAACCAGATCCTTTCCTTGAATGCCGTGTGGTTGGATAAGGAACAGCTCACCACCCTCTGCAAGGCGCCGCAGGGGGCTTTAGGGGTTCTTCTACAAGGGCTTCAAGGACTCCATAAGGGGGTCCATACAGGTTTCCTTCTTAGAATTATAGCACAAGATGCACCGAAACCGTATTCTAATTTTAAGGCCCTTAATTTGGGCCTGACATGTGGCATGTAGCCGAGCTTCTGGTACGGGGCTTCAAGACCCACAATTTAGGCTCACTGGGTGCAGGGATCGGGGCCTGGGATTCTGGGTTTCCGCTTTCCCTGGCGTTTCGCGTTTCGGGCGTTAAGGAGGACAGCGACATCAACATAGAACAAGCATAATGAAGGGCCTTCAATAATTACCTAGACTAGTTTGAGGGCTCCTTATTCTAAGTATAGTTGAATGTTAAGGCCCCTGTATCAATTCGTTGTCACAAAAACATGTAACGAATCGTCAGTGGTTCTGTTTGTGGCATTCGCAGGGGACGTGTGGAGTCAAGCTAGGCCCAAGACCTCAAACCCCAAAACCGTGATTGCCATCGCATGAGCGATGCGAGCGAGCCTCTTACATGCGTCCATTTTCCGAGACTTCAGAGCCCACACCCTAAACTCGAGGCAGGTGGTGTTTCTCGCTTTGGGATTCCGTTTTCAGAAGTGCGAGTCAAAATCCTGAATCTTGGCCCAAGCTTTGGATCAAAGGTGCCATTTTGCGCCCCGAAGCCTATCTACGGCTCTTAACCCTAAACCCTAAACCCTAATTTCTTAAATCCTTAAACCCCTAAACCCTAAACCTTAAACCCTAAACCCCTAAACCCCTAAACCCCTAAACCCTAAACCCTAAACCCTAAACCCTAAAGCCTAAAGCCCTAGAGCCCCGAGGCATGGTTTGAGGTTTAGGGCCTGGGGTGCTCTTCAGATGAGGACGTGAAGCGGCTGGGAGCCAAGCTCCATCTCTTCGAAGCTGAGCCGTACGCCTTGTGCAAGAAAGACGCTCAGCTGGACTTAGTTTTCTTTTTCCTTTTTCTGGGGTGTGGGGTTTGGGGGTTAAGGGTTTAATATTGTCAATGTTCTCGGGTTTTCGTTTAGGCCTGTAGTTTGATTAGGGCGTTGAGGGTTTAGGGTTTGCGGGTTCACTTCAGCGTTAACGGTTAAAAGGTTTGGGATTTCTGTGCCGCTCTTTGACGATGGTGCCGGACATACTACCCGGAGCCAGTGAGTGTTTACCCCAAACTCTGACCCCTAAACTTTAAACCGTGGGCTCTTGGTTTTAGGGCTGAAGTTCGAAATTCGGAACCGGGTCTTCAGAGCATCGACCTTGAGTTCGAAGTCCTTGTTTTGAGGAGAAGAAAGTAACATGCCAACTTCTACTCTTACAATTATCCGTAGAGCCGTAGAGTAGCCCTTACAGAAAGCTTTATCAAAAGCCTCATGCTCAGACAAAATTCCAGTAGCGAAGATGTTAAGCATTGGATGTCAGCAAAGGGGCTGGCCTGTGCCTGACTGGGATAGTTTGAAGTAGCAAAGCAATCATACTTGTAACGATAGTATTACTTGTAACAGTAATCATGGTGGATGCAGTGGCCCGTGGTGGCCAGCTTGCCAGTCCCATGTCTCAGGAGAAGTACATCCCGCTATGCAGCTTCACTGCAAGCCAGACATCAGCCCCAAAGCACGAAAACCATCAGGCACCCCAAATATCCCTTGGCTCTAAACCTCTCATCCACTAAACCCTAAGGTCACAAACGAAATCGTCCTAAACCCTCAACCCCAAAGTACCGCGAACAGTGTTTCTGCCGGCAATCCACCTGCCCATTTTTCAGGGTGTTGGCCTAAGTAGGGTGTTCCGAACGTTTTTGGGGTTTAGGGTTTCTTGATCTGTCACTTGACACATGCTGACACCCTAATCCCTGATGCCTGATCCCTTCGTCTCTGATGCTGCAACCCGGGCCCGGTTTTGAAGTCGCTACTGGGGGTGCTGGGGCCACATGCTTCCCTTCGTATAGTCACCAGAAAAGTGCTACCGTCCAATACTCCTGAAACCTTATGGAAAGGATTGAGGACCTTCCCGGGTTACTGCTATGCATGCAAGGCAAAAAGAATTTCGGAATGGAGGGTTCTTGGTGATTTGAGTATGCTAGCCTATGTCATTGTCATTGTCCTTGCCACCATCTAAACGCTAAGCCCTGAACCCAAAGCCCTAAACCCTGAACCCTGTTCTTCTCCTTCTTTTTGGTTCTAAACCTTGAACCCAAACAGCGGATCAAGCCCCAGGTATGTTTGTCATCACATGCCTCCTTACAATCGGCGCCACGGCCTCTTCCATCCTGAACTGGGAGGATGGCAAGGCAAGGATGCCTGCTGTATGGGGGCCTGCGTAGGGGTTTTGAAGTCAGCAAAGCCCTGAAGCTGAACCTTATTTCCAATCCCAGCTGAGAATTTCTCGAAGCCCAACAGACGGATTAAACTCTGAACTCAAAATGTACATAAGCCTGCGTAAACCCCAAGCCCTCAACCCCAAGCCTCCTAGGAGGCCCTTTAAAGGGGACCCTTCTGAACCCTACTTCTGGCTCTCTTAGGAGGGGTCCTTATTGAGAGGGTCCATATCCCCAAGGGTCCCCCCTAAACCCTAAACCCGAAAAACCCTACACCCGAAACCCGAAAAACCCTAAACCCGAAAAACCCTAAACCCGAAACCCTAAACCCGAAACCCTAAACCCCTAAACTCGATAAACCCTAAACCCGAAACGCTAAAGCCGAAACCCGAAAAACCCCCTAATCCTAACTCCCCAAAAGCCCCAGAGCCCTGGACCCCGAAAGCCCGAGCCTTAGCAGGTCCCCGGAGCCCGAAGCCGTAACTTCGGCTCAGTCGGCTTCAAAAACAGCATAGTTTAGGGTTTGGGGTTTAGGGTTTAGGGTTTAGAGTTTAGGGTTTAGGGTTTAGGGTTATAGTACAGCGTAATATAGTGTAGTATAGTGTAATATGGTATAGTCTGTATAGTATAGTATGGTATGGCCTAATGGTGCATTAGTATGGTGTAGTATGGTCTGGTATGATAGAGTATGGTATAGTAGTATAGTAATAGGTTGTTGGATACATTGTAGTAGAACTATTCAGGAACCCGCAGGAATATTATTGGTAACTTTTCAGGCCCGTATATTACTTGATTGAGAGAGGAAAGCGTTCCGTTCAGGGTTCCTTTAAGTTCCTTTACAGGCTTTCTATGGAGTTTTTGTGTAGGAGTCTTAGTAGGTATAGTTAGGAATAGGATGTTGGGAGAAGACGCTGTGAGGGAATATCATGCCCCGTTATTCAGGCCCCCCCCAAATGGGGGCATTTCTGTTGGATCGATTCCTGAGAATGCGCATTTTCTGTTGGGGGGTGATAAGTATAGTTACCTTTCTTATAACTCTACTTACTAAGTCCCA